CATTTTATGAATATCCTACAGTTTTTTTGGTTTTTTTGAGACGGAGTTTTGCTCTTGTTGCCCAAACTGGAGCGCTACGGCGCAATTTAAGCTCACTGCAACCTCTGCCTCCCAGGTTCAAGCGATTCTTCTGCCTCAGCCTCTGGAGAAAGCTGGGATTACAGGTGCCTGCCACCATGTCTGGCTACTTTTTTGTATTTTTAGTAGAAACAGGTTTCACCATGTTAGTCAGGCTGCCTTGAACTCCTGACCTTAGGTGATCTGCTCACCTTGGCCTCCCAAAGTGCTGGGATTATAGGCGTGAGCCACCACGCCCAGCCCCCACTAATTTAGTTTTTTCAAATGGAGTCTCACTCTGCTGTTGGGTTGGAGTGCAGTGGTGCGACCTCAGCTCACTGCAATCTCCACCTCCCAGGTTCAAGCAATTCTCCTGCCTCAGCCACCCAAGTAGCTGGGATTACAGACCTGCGCCACCATGCCCAGCTAATTTTTGCCTTTTTAGTAGAGATGTGGCTTCACCGTCTTGGCCAGGCTGGTCTCGAACTCCTGACCTCAGCCTCCCAAAGTGCTGGGATTATAGGCGTGAGCCACCGTGCCCAGCCAAAGTTTTTAATTCATTCATCTGCTAACGGACATTTGGGTTGTTTCCAGCCCTGGGCTATTGTAAACCAAGCTGCTTTGATCATTCCTGTGCAAGTCTGTATGGACACATGCTCTCTTTTCTCTTGGGCAAATACATAGGAGTGGAATGGCTGGATTGTATGGTCGGTGTAGAAACATGATTTTTGAATGGCTGTATAGAGGTCTTTAATGTAGATATTCCATATTTTTAAAGCAATACCCTATTATTGAACATTTAGACCTTTCTGATTCTTCACTATTGTTGCAAATGATCTAATTTTTTGGCCTAACGGTGCGTTTATAGATTTTCAACTTGGAAAAATAAAGCCCAAGAAAATGAAAAGCCATTGTAAAGGGAATCTGGAAACAAAGAGCATGCTCCTAAATAATTGAGAGTTTTTCAATGATTGTAAAGTATTTCGTGTCCTCTCCCGGGAAGCAAAGTGGCATGAATCTTTAAATGAATCAAAATTTTAATTTTAATTTCAAGATTTTTGCAACCAATGGAAGGTCTGCTGTTTTGCTGTCGAGTTTATGGGACCGTGATTTCATCATAACATTCCTTATGAGGCGATCGCAGCAAACCTGGGTGTGGCCTTTGTTTCTGCCAGCTGTAATTAGCCATCTGGTATACTTTATAACAGTTTGTTAAATAAAAAAATCTTAAAATGTAGCATTTTGCTCACTTCTCTCTCTCTCTCTCCCCCCCCTTTCTGCCTGTGTGTGTGCTCTCTCTCTCTCCCCTTTCTGCCTGCCTGTGTGTGTGTGTGTGTGTGTGTGTGTGTGTGGTGACGCACATATATATGGTGACAATCATAAAAGTGAAACAAAATGTTAATGCTAAAGCTCTATTTTTCTGTGCTATGTATAGGGTCTTCTTATAACAAAAGTTGTTTTCACCAACAGATTTTTAAACAGCAGGGACATGCTTATTATTTACTGTTTTGGTGTCTTTCCCTCATTTACATAAATACCCCAGAAACCAGCAGTTTAAAACTAATAAAAGCCAAGGCCCTCCATCAAGTGCAATAAAGTTTCACAACCACGAGTCAGACTGTTAGAGTGAAAAATAAACCTATATATGTGGTTATGAAAGGTTTTTTTTGGAAAGTGTATAATCACATTTCAAAGTTAGAACTTCCATTTGAAGTAGCCGTGTAATCATAATACTTAAACATTTATGTGGAACGCTGCATCTTTGAAACACTCTCCCAACACTGGCCAATCCATCTCGACTGCTTCCCTGAGGAGCAGGTACTATCCGCTCTGCCATTTTTCTAGTTAGAAAATTGAGGAAGGTCTGGCCAGGCTCAAGAGAGGGAGGGCTGGGGAGACCAGTTCCTGGCCCTTATTATTCTGTGACTCTTTGGGATGTAATTCCTAACAGCAGGCATCAAGCTTCTGTTCCCCGTTGACAAAATCATTAATAAAACGACGGTATAAATAGCAGCTCTATTGGCCTCGAGGGCTTAGATACTGTCCTGGCCTTCCTGGGGCAGGCCTCTTGGAAGGAAAGATGTGCGGAGAAGTTACAGAAGAGCCCATTGCGATGGGTTGATCCAAACTACTTCCAGCGAGAAAAGTGCAGTGGAATGCTTCCTCCCTCCCCCAGCTGCCACCCTCACATTATCTTGGCAACTTCATTTACAGTTTCCAGATACGATTTACCATGATTAGTACATTTAAAGAGTTGCACAAATTTGTTATGCTGAACAGTAAAATAAAAATAATGAACATTTACTTTTTTGGAAATATAATTAATGTATGCTTGAGAAATTCTGAAAGATAAACATTTAAATGTTAAAATACTTATTACCGTCCCCACAGGGACAGTGTTGGGAATTAATGAGGTAACAAATGTAAAGTGCTTTGAGCACTTCTTTAGAAGAAAGGTGCCAAATGAATACAAATGATTATTAATTGTTAAAGCTATCAGATGGTTACTAGTCTATTACTTGGGATAAAAATACATATTTTTATACTTAAAAAACAGGATGCTCACAATTCTTAGGATGACATAGCTGAAATAATGCTCCCCAAACTTCTTCCAGGCTGCCCTACATTTTGTTGGAAGCCTTTCCCAATGCTTCCAGGATTTCTTAACCTAATACTCATCTCTTGAAACTTCAGGGAATGACTTCCCAGCTTCCAAATTCTATGCCTTTCCAACATCATTCTCCACCAAAGTCTTACAGATCCATCACCATAGGAGAATTCCACTGACACCATTTTTTTCTTCTGACTTTGATCAGATAATTGCAATGCCTTACCATGCTGTCAGTTGTCAAGCTCATTTCATTAGCAGGAAGTATGCGTTAAGTTACAGCTGCCTTTTCTATGCAGTAAGCAACACGCTAGAGCATGTTATTCTAAAAATGTGCAAATCCCTTGCATGATCTGGGACAAGTGAAACTAAACCTTCTACTTCGTACAACATGCTGGAATTTGTGGTAAAAGAGAGCAAATCCCAAATTTCTTTTCATTTAGCCTGAGACATGGGGTGAGACACTCTCACTAAATCTCAATTTCCTCCTATGTAAAATGAGAACAGTTGTAGTACTTACATGCATGGAGTTGTTGAAAAGATGCAATGAAATAATGTATATGAAGCTTCTAGCACGGTGCATCCCTGTCTCCCAGTTTGTTCTGTAAGTAACTGTAAGTAGCTTATGGAAAGGTCACTAAATAGACAGCACAGTAGGCAGTAAACATTTAATATTATAATCTCTTTGGTTTCTTTAAAGTCAATACAAAATACGTAATATATTAAGGGAAATACTTATATCCAATAACACTCTCCAACCACTGCAAACATTCAACATTAAATAATGGGTCATTTTACCATCCTGGCCAACATGGTGAAACCCCATCTCTACTAAAAATACAAAAATTATGGGCATGGTGGCACACACCTGTAGTCCCAGCTACTCGGGAGGCTGAGGCAGAAGAATCTCTTGAACCCGGGAGGGGAGGCTGCAGTGAGCCGAGATCGTTCCACTGCACTGCAGCCAATGAAGGAGCAAGACTCTGTCTCACACACACAGACAAAAACAAAAACAAAAACAAAAAAACGGGATCATTTCTCATACAAAGATACCTCTATTGTTTAATGTATGCTTCTCCCAAAAACTTCCTGGAAAATGGTATATCATTTCCCCAAAATCCTCTTACCAACAAATATTTGCTTTCCTATTTAGAAGCACAAAAGCTCAGTAATTAATTCATCATGACTAAATTATATTCAGGATACTTTAGATATTGTACACACACAAATGATTCTTTTTTCAAACGTGCCTTAGTTTACCAAGAGCACAGCATCTTTGTAGCATATACGTGCTAAAGATAATGGACTATTGCTTCTTTTCAAATGTTCTGTAATTAAAACATGTCACTAATTTAATCTGGTCCTCTGGCTTCTTCCACTTAATTAATTGAAGTGATTGTTTTGTTATACCAATTTTTCTCCTTTAATTTTGAAGCTGTAGATGTTTAGGTAGAGAACCTTGCTCCCAATCGCTTTCTAATGAGACGTGAATCTGGATCACAGGTCTGAATTCTGCAGTGTATGCAAACGATGGCTGCAAAGGAAGAACGTGGCATTGTTTGAGAAACCAATCAAGTGAGTAACACAATGGGTACAGGATGGTGAACTCATTTGACCACTGCCAGCAGCTTGAGCCTCAGGAGTGCTAATCAAAATTCACATGCAAAACTTCCCGATAGATTTAACAGTTTTGTACTGTTTAGCAGGGGCTCTCACCATGTGAATGATCCACCACTGTGCCGAACAAAACGGAGACAGTTTTCTTTTAAAGTCCAGAGCAGATGAGAGCCATAAGGAGACAGAGGGTTTCATTTACTCTCAGGACACGATTGTGCCAGTGAACTAATGAGTCTCTTGGACCTTATGTTGCTCTGGCTTCAATTGAGGCGCGATTCTAATGGGCATGTAGTACTTCCTATCTGTCAAGTGTCTGGACAATGCGCCTCTCAAATGGATGAGAGAGATCTGGCAAGAAAAAGAGGTCAGCGTTGTACCTAGCACAGGCAGGAAACCTGGCTAATTAATGTATTTCCAACTATAGCAAAACAAAAGCTTTCGCACAGAAATGTTAATTTTATTACAGAAACTCTTAGCCTGTGGCTGAAGCACAGTTAACAGATGACTGAAATTCCATAGGTAAAAATCCTCCTCCTTTCCCCAATACATGAAAATATTTTTATAGACATAAAGGTCATTCTTTAAAACAATGCATGCAGCAAATCACGCTGCCACGTGTGTACCTATGCAACAATCTTGCATGTCCTTCACATGTACCCCAAAACCTAAAATGCAACAAAATAAATTAAAAAAAAAATACATGGTTTTGGTGTTGTAACTTGCTTATTTCGCCCTTCAGTAAAGCTAGCGGATGTAGAAATATTTTTGGACAATTATGAAGTCAATGCTGAAAGTTGGTGTCAGCACTACATAATCTTAACAATCTGACTTTTTAAAGGTATTGTACTGTTGAACTAAGGTTGAAAAAAAAACCCACTGCTGTATTAAATGGAGAACTAGAGAATACAAATGTTATTCAAGCTACAGGGCTCCAGTTACACTCCATCTTAAACTAAGAGCAGATGCTGCCACCTAGATACATTCTGATGCTTTGGTTAACTAGATGTTGGCTTCTCCTACTTTTTGAAAAATAGCAATAGCAGACAATAGGGGTTTGGTATAACAAAAAAGCAGGATGAATGATAAAGAGTCACTTAAAAATTCATATAAATATAATTTCAATATAAATTTGAAGTTTTGAAAAAAAGGCATTTGTGTTTTGACAAATAACAGCGAGTAAGCCTTTGTTCAACTCTATAAATGCAGAAGATCAATGACTATTAGAAATAGGAGAAAACTTTCTAAAACATAAAAAATAAAAGCTGCATAATCCTGAAGCCTATGAGGAAGCACATGTAGAGTGGATATCAGGAAGACTTAACTTTCTTCTTTTATCAGATTACTTTTTCCTGAATTTGAGAAGAAGAAGGGATTGTTCAACACTCTCAAGTAAAAACATAAATAAGTTTTGGTTCAATAAGTAAAATAAGATCACTTAATAAACAATTTTTTAAGAAGAGCATTTCATTAAAATCTGTTCTGACTCACCTCCTAGCACACAAAGCAAGCCAATTTCCCCTGGCTTTGATTTCTAACAGCAAAAGAAATATTGCCCTGTTTATTTCAGACTAGGATCCAAAAGGTTATGTACTGTATTCCAGGACCATCTCTTCGGCTTAGAGAGGTTTTTATTGTCTTTGGACTGTTGTTCCTCTTCAAACCTCATTTTGTTTTCCTTTGTTACCCCTAGAATAGTTTCAATATCAGCAATGGTGGTCTGTAAGTAAATAGTAAAGACAGTATTTATTACTTAAAGACGTTTAACAATCCCTCTCCCCCAAGCATCCGCGCCTTTTGGGAGTTCACCATGGTTTAGACCACTTCTATTCAGAATACATTCTACTGACTGGCACTTGTCTACAAATGATGGCTTACCAGTCTTGCTGAAATGAATAAAAAAACTGAGAGAATTTGGAAAACTTTTTAGAATTTTTATGCCTATCACGTCTAATAATAAAAAAAATTGGGCTTCTGAACTGTAGGTCTTTAATTTTTTAATCTTATTTTTCCAGTAATTAAATTTTGCTTTTTTTTTTTGTTAAAATTTGCTCTATTTTGTTAATATTGATCTGTCATAGGTTAGATAAAAACAAAACAAAACAAATAGGTTCTTTATTATAGATAATTTGAGAAGCATTGGTCTAGTCACCCCAAAATGAGGGCTAGCAGCCAGATGCGGTGACTCATGCCTGTAATCTCAGCACTTTGGGAGGCTGAGGCTGGTGGATCACAAGGTCAGGGGATCGAGACCAACCTGGCTAACAGGGTGAAACCTCATCTCTACTAAAAATACAAAAAATTAGCTGGGCGAGGTGGCGTGTGCCTGTAGTCCCAGCTACTTGGGAGGCTGAGGCAGGAGAATCACTTGAACCCAGGAGATGGAGGTTGCAGTGAGCTGAGATCGTGCCACTGCACTCCAGTCCAGGTGGCAGAGTGAGATTTCAACTCAAAAAAAAAAAAAAAAAAAAAAAAAAAAAAAAAGAGGGCTAACAGGCTGATGGGAGGGTTTCTTTCCATTGGTTGCTGGGAAGAAAAAAAATGACACCTTCTCATTTACTTTATTTATATTCTATTGAGGTATAATTCCCATACCATAAAATTCACCCTTATAAAGTGTACAATTCAGTGGTTTTTAGTATATTGCAAGTAATCATCACCACTATGTAATTCCAGAACATTTTCATCACCCCAAATAGAAGCCCTGCACCCATTAGCAGTCACTCCCCATTTCATCCCACTCCCTCAGCCCCTGGCAACCACTAATCTATTTCTGTCTCTATGGATCTGCCTCTCCTGCACATTTCTTATAAATGAAACTGTATAATATGTGACCTTTTGTGAATGCCTTCTTTTACCTAGTATAATGTTTTCAGGGTTCATCCATGTTGTAGCATGGATCAGTACTTTATTCCTTTTAGAGAGCTGAATAATATCCCATTATATAAAATATTATCCATAGAATAGAATAGAATAAAATTCACTTATTTCTTCATTGATGGACATTTGGGTTGTTGCTAATTTTTGGCTATTATGAATATTGCTTCTATGAATATTAATGTACATGTTTTTGTGTGAACATGTTTTCAATATTCTTGGGCATATACCTAGAAATGGAATTGCTGGGTCATATGGTAATTTGACACTTAATTTTTTTATAAACTGCTAAACTTTACATATCTGTGATGCTATTTTAAATTCTTACCAGCAATATATGAGGGTTCCGGTTTCTCCACAGCCTTACCAACACTTGTTATTGCCTTTTTATTTAACTGTAGCCATCTTATTAGGTATAACATATTTTATTGTGGTTTTGATTTGTATTTCCCTAATAACTTATGATGTTGGGCATTCCTTCATATACTTCTTGGCCATTTGTACATTTTTTTTTTTTTTTTGAGACAGGGTCTTGCTCTGTCACCCAAGCTGGTGTGCAGTGGTGTGATTATAACTCACTTCAGCCTTGACCTTCTGGGCGCAAGCAATCCTCCCTCCTCAGCCTCCTGAGCAGCCGGAATTACAGGTGTGTGCCACCATGCCTGGCTAATTAAAATTTGTGTATATGTGTGTGTATGGAGTTGAGGTCTCACTGTGTTGCCTGGGCTAGTCTAAAACTCCTGGCCTTGATGATCCTCCCACTTCAGCCTCCCAAAGTGCTGGGATTACAGGTGTGAGCCATTGCACCTGGCCTGCATATCTTCCTTGAAGAAACGTCTACTCAAATCCTTTGCTCCCTTTTAAAACTGGGTTACTTGTCCTTCTGTGGTTGAGTTGTAAGAGTACTTTATACATTGTGGATACTATGCCTTACCAGGTACACGAGTTGCAAATATTATTTCCCTTTCTGTAGACGGTCAATAGTGAAATTTGCAATAATATTTGCAAATATTATTTCCCTTTCTGTAGGCTGTTGATAGTGTTCTTTGATGCATAAAGTTTTAAATTTTGATGAAGTCCAATTTATCTATTTTTACTTTGATTGCTGTGCTTTAGGCACCATGTCTAAGAAGCCATTGCTAACCAAAGGTCGTGAAGGTTTATATGTATGTTTTTTTCCTGAGAGTTTTACAGTTTTAGCCCTTACATTTAAATCTTTGATCCATTTTAACTTAAGTTTATTTTTTTTTTTTTGAGACGGAGTCTCACTCTGTCGGCTGGGCTGGAGTGCAGTGGCACAATCTTGGCTCACTGCAACCTCCGCCTCCTGAGTTCAAGTGATTCTCCTGACTCAGCCTCCCGAGTAGCTAGGGGCATGCCACCATGCCCAGCTAATTTTTATTCTTTTTTTTTTTTTTTTTTTTTTTTGAGACGGAGTTTCGCTCTTCTTACCCAGGCTGGAGTGCAATGGCGCGATCTCGGCTCACCGCAACCTCCGTCTCCTGGGTTCAGGCAATTCTCCTGCCTCAGCCTCCTGAGTAGCTGGGATTACAGGCACGCGCCACCATGCCCAGCTAATTTTTGTATTTTTAGTAGAGACGAGGTTTCACCTTGTTGACCAGGATGGTCTCGATCTCTTGACCTCGTGATCCACCCGCCTCGGCCTCCCACAGTGCTGGGATTACAGGCTTGAGCCACCGCGCCCGGCCAATTTTTATATTCTTAGTAGAGACAGGGTTTCACCATGTTGGCCAGCCTGTTCTTGAACTCCTGACTTCAGGTGACCCACCCACCTTGGTCCCCAAAGTGCTGGGATTACAGGTGTGAGCCACTGCGCCTGGCCCATTTTAGCTTAATTTTTATATATGATGTGAGGTAGAGGTCTAACTTAATATTTGTATATGCCATTTATTTACAAGTTATTTTTTCTTCATTGAATTGTTTCAGCACCCTTGCCAAAAATCGATTGGCCGTTACGTATAGTTTATTTCTGACTCAGTTCTGTCATTGATCTATACCTCTATTCTTATGCCAGTACCACACTGTCTTGATTATTGTAGCTTTGTAGTAAGTTTTGAAATTGAGGAATGTGAATTCTCCAACTTCTTTCTTCTTTTTAAGATTATTTTGGTTATTCTGGGTCTCTAATATTTCCACATGAATTTTAGGATCATCTTGTCAATTTCTGCAAAAAAGCCAGCTGGGATTTTGATCAGAATTACATTGAATCTATAGATCAATTTGGGAATACCAGCATTTTAGCAGTATTATCTTCTATTGAATGAATATTGTCTTTCTGTTTATTTAGGTCTTCTTTAATTTCTTTCACCCATGTCTTATAGTTTTCACTGCAAACATCTTACACTCCTGCTAAATTTATTCCTAAGTATCTTATTCTTTTTGATGCTATTGCAACTTGAATTTTTTAAAAGTATATTTTTGCATTATCCATTACACAAATACAATTGTCTTTTGTATACTATTTTATGTCTTATAAACTTGTTGATGGGTTCTTTAGAATTTTTCTTTTCTTTCCTTTTTTTAAGACGATCTTTCTCTGTTACCCAGGCTGGAGTGCAGATCATGGCTCACTGCAGCCTCAACCTACCCAACTCAAGCCATCCTCCCATCTCAGCCTCCTAAGTAGCCAGGCCCACAGGTGTGTGCCTCCACACCTGGCTAATTTCTTAGTTTTTAGATAGGGTCTGCCTATGCTGCCTAGGCTGGTTTCAAACTCCTGGGTTCAAGCAATCCTCTTGCCTCATAGGATTTTCCATTTACAAGAATTTGCCATTTGCAAATAGAGAAGCTGTTATTTTCATTTCTTCTTTTCTCCTTCTTCTTCTTAGCAGAGACGAGGTCTTGCTAAGTTGCCCAAGCTGGTCTCAAACTCCTGAGGGCAAGTGATCTTCTCACCTTGGCCTCGCAAAGTGCTGGGATTGCAGGTGGGGGCCACTGCACCCCGTACCTTTTATTTCCGTTTCTTGCCTAATTACCCTGTCCAGAACCTCCAGTACAATGACGAATAGAGGTGGCAAGAACAGGCACCCTTGTCTTATTCCTAATCTTGGGGAGAAGGCTTTTGGTCTTGCAACATTAGCTATGATGTCAGCTGTAGGTTTTTTTGTAGATGTCCTTATAAGGTTGAGGAAGTTTCCTTCTACTATTGTTACTTCGTTGAATGTTTTTATCAGAAGAGAGTGTTGAATTTTGTTAAATGCATTGTCTGCATAATTTTCCTTTTTAAATTCTTATTCCCGTTGCCTAGACTCACTGCAGCCTCAACCTCCTGGGCTCAAATGATTCTCCCACCTCAGCCCCCCAAGTAGCTGGGACTACAGGCACGAGCCACCACACCTGGCTAATTTTTGTAGCGATGGGGTTTCACCACGTTGCTAAAGCTGGTCTTGGACTCCTGCGATCAAGCAATCTGCCCACCTCAGCTTCCCAAAGTGCTGGAATTACAGGCATGAGCTACAGTGCCCAGCCTCATCACCTTCCATTTTTATTTAGCCTTTACTTTGCTGGTAAATCCTTGTTTAAAAACTGAAAATATCTACCATAATGCCAGTAGGTAGAAGACAGAAAATGCTAGCAAAGATGAATCTATTCCACTGCTTCAAGTTTTTGTTATTATACCTATATTACTGAGATTTAAAATTTTTGCTTTCAGATGTAACAAAAGTCCAGAAAACAATCATTCATCTGAGAAGGCTAGAAACCATGACGTAATTAAAAGCTACCTGAGAACATCTGACTTTTGATGATTCTGAAAGTCAGAGAAAGGGCAGAGAGATAGTCTTCATTTTGTCAGGGGTGGCTGACTCTGCCAACAGCAAGACAGGCTCAGAATCAACTTAGTCTGCATGGATTTGAGGTTAAACCACCTGATCCTGATTATTAGCTATATTTAGACAGGCCGAATGGATCAAATGCAGAGAGGCTCAGAGTTTTGCACATGGCACTAACAGGTAAGATGATGCTACCAGCTAGCAGGAACTGAAAATGTAAATGAGAAGTCGGGCAAGGTGGCTCATGCCTGTAAACCCAGTACTTTGTGAGGCCAAGGGGGAAGATCCCTTGAGCTCAGGAGCTTGAGACCAGCCTAGGCAAGACAGTGAGATATCCCATCTCTAAAAAAACAAAAACAGTAAATGATGAGCATAGATCCATTAGGACCAGTGAACATTGATGTAATATTTGGTCTATCTTTTCCTGAATCTTCTCAATCATGTGGTAGGAAAAGCAGTGGTCATTCTTCCAGCTCATAAAATCATATTGTTAATGTTACTGTTTTAAAGGAGTTAGGCTGCAGCTTGAATTAAAAATGTATTACAATTACAACTTTATGAAGCTTTTGCTGGACTTTTAAGAGAAAACCACATGTGGTTTCTGATTGTGTCCTTTTTTTTTTTTTTTTTTTTGAGACGGAGTTTCGCTCTTGTTACCCAGGCTGGAGTGCAATGGCGCGATCTCGGCTCACCGCAACCTCCGCCTCCCGGGTTCAGGCAATTCTCCTGCCTCAGCCTCCTGAGTAGCTGGGATTACAGGCACGTGCCACCATGCCCAGCTAATTTTTTGTATTTTTAGTAGAGACGGGGTTTCACCATGTTGACCAGGATAGACTCGATCTCTTGACCTCGTGATCCACCCGCCTCGGCCTCCCAAAGTGCTGGGATTACAGGCTTGAGCCACCGCGCTCGGCCTGATTGTGTCCTTTGAATGAATGAAGGCCTAGGCTGGGAATTCGATTCATACCTTGCTGTTCAATACCATGTGATCATCTCTGCTCAGATAGTATTTCAGAAACTCCATATAGACCTTGTTCCTGTAGTTTAGTTTGGAGACTTCTAGTCAATTATACTCAACTGGATTTGATGGACCAACATCTTTAAAGGTCATATGAAGGCTTCTAAAGGTTAGCAGTGAAATAATTCAACCCACTTTGGAGAAACGGGTGGGGTGGATGGCCCACATACATGCTATATTTTCTGCTTCTCCCTAACACACATTGCTTTCTCAGGTCTTAGAACTTCTCTGGCTCTAGAAACGAGGGCTTCCCAGGAATCACTAGTCAGACACTGTATTATCTGGAATATAGATAGGTAACATTCACAATTTTTGGTTGTGACAATCGCTGTTTGGTTCCACTGTGACATTTCAGACTCACCTTCAGCATCAGAAAGCTCTGCTATCTTATGAGCTGGGGTTTGAAAATGGCAGCAAGTTAAAAGTCAACTCTATTTCAAAGAAGTTTCAGACTATTAAATTTAACTAACGGCTTCAGTGGGAACCTTACAGTATTGACCCTGCACATTGTAAAATATGTACTGCTTACAATAAAAAAAAGATGGTTTAGCACTTGTTTACAATACAGCATGAGGTATTTTCAGCCCTTGTATAGAAATTAACCAGAATCGTTAGTTAATTAACACCTCACCTTAAAATTGGTCTCGCCTTGCATATTAGGTGCTGATATTTCTTGATGGATGATGAAGAGATTGCGAGCAAAGGTCATGAGGACCCCCTGGAGATCCTCGCCGATTGTTCTGTTAATGATATCCAAACAAATGAGTTTACCAACGATTCCCCTCACATGCTTAAAAACAATCGCCCTCTCATTTGTGCCTGTCTGGTGATGGAATTTAATGAGTATTTTCAATCTCACAAGGTGGCAATCTTCAGGGAGATATGAAAGATGAGACTCCATTTTAACTTGTCAACAAAAAGGACTTGCGTAATAAATATTTTTTATTAATCAACTTAGCAGAATATAGCAATAGGGTCAGTCATTTCTAGCGAAAGGCTACCACGGAGCTAGGACGTTGTATGAGCTCATTTTAAAAATGGTTTAAGTTAGTTTAGGAGAACTGTCGATAAGTGTGATCCTTGCTGAATGACTTCCCTGTCTGTGGAGACATTTGCATCTCAGTATTCTGGAGACTTTTATCTGGGGTTGATTTTCTATTTCATGTATACAAGCTATTCCTGCTACTTAATAAGAGTGCCCTGCCTATGTTCAGAGGAGAATGTGCCCTGTTCATGATCAGTTGTCTTTAGAAACCCGAACATCCACTTTAAAAAGATTTCAGAGACAGCTTGCAAACCATCCTGCAGCATTATAGGGCTCCCTATACAAGGTGGTCACTCAGTGTAGACTTTGTGGTGTAGAGAAAAGAACAGGATCAGGAGACAGATCACATACTGTGTGACCCGGGCTAATCAATTCCCCTCTCTAAGCCTTAGTTTCTCATCTATAACATGAGAATCAATTAATTTGAAGGCCCTTCCCTGTTCTAACATTCTCTGGTTCTATGACCGCAGTTAGGGATGAGAATAAGATGGACAGAAAACAGTAGAACAGGACTAAAGGCTTTCAAGAGGCCCATATCAACTGTGCCCTCCCTGAAGGATGTGTGAATGGAATAACTATCTGGAGGGTACATCAATAGGGCTATTTCTTTCTTTTTTTTTTTTTCTGAGACGGAGTTTCGCTCTCGTTACCCAGGCTGGAGTGCAATGGCGCGATCTCAGCTCACCGCAACCTCCGTCTCCTGGGTTCAGGCAATTCTCCTGCCTCAGCCTCCTGAGTAGCTGGGATTACAGGCACGCGCCACCACGCCCAGCTGATTTTTTGTATTTTTAGTAGAGACGGGGTTTCACCATGTTGACCAGGATGGTCTCGATCTGTTGACCTCGTGATCCACCCGCCTCGGCCTCCCACAGTGCTGGGATTACAGGCTTGAGCCACCGCGCCCGGTCAATAGGGCTATTTCTACCATTGAAGGCTGGCCTGCAGATCAAGGCGCCCTTGCCTGAAATCTCAGGTGCAGGTGTAGGGACAGCTGGGCAAGTTCCTCTTGGTTACCAGTCTAATTATTTATTCTGCAGTCTTCAGCATCAAATTCACCTTGCTGCTAGGTCAGTTTTATGACTGGGAGTTTCTCTGTTCATGAAATAGCCTCTTCTTTTATCTCTTACTTTCTGTGATGGTTTTCCTCCTGCCTGGTTCCTCTACACCCAAGTACCCCCCTGCATAGCTCTTCCTGTGGCCCACACCTCAGGAACTCTGCCTCTGCCTTGGTGATACTTACCCCCGTCTCATCCCATCAATTCCAGGACACAAGTCCTGCTCCTAAGTGTCAGCCTCTGCTGGGCTCTGCTGCCTGCTGACAGGCTTGCCTCATGCCATCCCCTTCCAGCTTGGGTCTCCAAAAGTGGCCTCCTCTCTGAGTGCCTGTGGTGGAGCTTCCCCTGACCTAGCTCTCAGGTTGTCCCTTTACGCTTTGTGGTTGGACCTTTCCTGATGGTATGAGCTGTTTGCTTCTCAGGATGACCACCTCCAGGCACCTGAATCCTGGGTCCTTTGTTTGGCCCGTCTGGCCGCTCTTCAGCCATCACCCGAAGGGAGCTCACCCCTCCCAGCCTTATTGTATGTTCACAAGGGTTTGTCTAGTTCCAGTCCTGTCCCAGCTTCTCCTTTGCAGTTAATCTTTCATGCCAGCTGGTGCCCAGTAAGACACAGTTCCTATCTCTGTGTTCTGATTTCTACTTCTTTGTACCTAACTAACCCATCTGTCTGAATTCCTGAGCTTAGAAATACACTTGGACCTTGAACATTTCCTGCTTAGATTCATAACTTGGGAAAATACAAATTTCATATTCTCCTGCTTGCCAACTTCAAATCCAGATGACTGCTTGGTTCTTCTAGTCCCAGTCATTCCTGGCAAATCCTGGTCGGTGGTCTATGTTCTGCCCAGCCCTGACATCACAGTGTCAAGTTTGGGCAGAGCGAAATGGGAAGTATTTCATCTCTGATCGTTCAGCTACTAGCGTACTGCTGTTCCCCTTTCCTGGCTTGTCAGCAGCTGATATGCTAGACCACGTTTACCTGTTTCCTGTGTGCCCACCCCACTACAGTGGCAGCTCCCTGAGGGCAGGGCTCGTTGCTGTTTTCCTAACACCTAGAGTTGTGCCTAGTACTGTTGATAAAATGTTTTCAAATTTTCTGATAGAGAAAGGTAGAGCAGGGAGGGAGTTGAGGGGCAGAACATCACTGGGAAGCAAAGGGCAGATCCTTCCCTGCACATGCCAAGAGGTGTCACTGGCTCCGTTATCATTCTGGATGTGAAGGCCCTGGGAAGATACGATGAAGGCATGCTTGTTGGGATGTTATGGATTGAGGTCTCATTTCTGTTGCTATCAGGGCAGTGTGAGAAATGGGTGAAGAGTCCCTAGGGAAGCGACTTTCTTAACAAGACCCAAAACGTTTTGCATGTTTATGAGATCTTGGGGAATGATTGAAACTGGAGGGGAGGGCTCAAACAGTTTCATTCAGTGTAGACTTTGTGGTGTAGTGAAAAGATTTCCCAGGTGACGAAAAGCATTTAAGACTGTAAGTGCCAGATTAAATTGTAGCCATATTGTAGTTCCAAAGGGGAGGAAACCAGAACATTTACCTAAGTTCAAAAGGTGTGGAGGCTCATGCCTGTAATCTCAGCACTTTGGGAGGCTGAGGCAGGTGGATCACCTGAGGTCAGGAGTTCAAGACCAGCCTGACCAACATGGTGAAACCCCATCTCTCTTAAAAAATATAAAAATTAGCTGGACATGGTGGTGAGCACCTGTAATCCCAGCTACTCAGGAGGCTGAGGCAGGAGAATCGCTAGACCCCAGGAGGTGGAGGTTGCAGTGAGTAGAGATCGCACCATTGCACTCCAGTCTGGGGGACGGAGCGAGACTTCATCTCAAAAGAAAAAAAAAAGTATCAATGGGGTGAATATCACTGTATTGATAATGGTCTGTTATAACTGATAATGCTTTGGCAGAACAAAGGACTATATTTTGTATCAGGAAGTTGAAGCCTGTCCTATGCAGCCATTTGCTTATAGTGTACACCTCTTTGGATCAGTTTCTAAGAGACTGACCACAGTAGGGCAGAGGGGAGGTTGAGGAGGGAGGGACTGAGGCTGCACAGGAACATCAGTGCTTAGTAGAGGCACTGGCTATTTGGTTAGTTTTTATGAGACCAGGTCTTTGTGTATATGTTTCTGTGTGTTTCAATGTGAAGCCACAATATCTACACTGCTATAGAGGTTACAAGGAAGAGAAATTTAGGGCAGAGACAGTTTTCAATTAGGTAGAATGATTTAAAGGTACCATATGCCAAGATATGAAATAAGAGATGACTCAAGGTTGTGGCTCTAAATTCTGAGTCCCAGATAGAAGACAGCTTTGCTAGGCTCCAAAATATCCCAGAGAGAAATCTGGGAGACATGTGGAAGCCTCCAAGTGTTGCCAGCAGCCTGTGCTCAGCACATGTGTATCTTAAGAAGATTGCATCCGTGCTGAAACTGGATCTGAGGAGGGGCCACAGATCCTGCTTGTTGGGGGGACATCTTGAGAAATCACCAGAGCACAGAGCACTTTTCTAAGCATGCCAGAATGACAACTGCCTTCCACAGTTAGGATAACTGAGCGGGGTCCCCATGAGTGAGACCTGATGTGCCTTATCTGTGTTTGTGTTTAAGTATAATATGTTGTTAAGTCTAAACCTTATCCGTCAATTTCGGATAATCAATTATATTTATAACCCCCCACTAACACATTTACAGTCATTTTATAAAATACCTGAAGATCTAAATATAGATTTTTTTGTTTTTTTTCTGAGACAGAGTCTAATTCTGTTGCCAGGCTGGAGTGCAATGGAGTGATCTTGGCTCACTGCAACCTCCGACTCCCTGGTTCAAGCGATTCTCCTGCCTCAGCCTCCTTAGTAGCTCGGATTATAGGCATATGCCACCATGCCCAGCTAATTTGTTTTGTATTTTTAGTAGAGACGGGTTTCAGCATGTCAGGATGGTCTTGATCATGGCCAGGATGGTCTTGATCTCCTGACCTCATGATATACCCTCCTTGGCCTCCCAAAGTGCTGGGATTACAGGTGTGAGTCACTGCGCCCGGCCTCTAAATATAGACTTCTAATAAATCAGCATGCTGATTAAAATGCCTGAGAAGCAACATTCTTGTTAGTTGTGATTATTTCCTTAGCTTATTACAACTCTCAGAAACACTTCATACTCACAACATTCCCAACTTGTCTCTCTTCAGGTGTTCATATAATATAAAAACAGTTCCTTGCCTGTCCTGTAAAATTTGAATGGGGAGAAAAGAAATAGTACATTATCTCAGAAACAAAGTACATAAAATGTTACTAGCACAGAAAGACTACGAAGATTGATCTGATTTGAAATCTAGAGGTACCTTCAAATATTGTGAGAACACATTTGAAAAGGCTGTTACTAGAATTTGGAGTAAGTATTATTCTAGGACAGTGCTTTTTGAATATGATCCTCAGAACACCTGCATCAGAATCATCTAGTGTGCTTGTTAAGAAGGCATTTTCAGCCAGGTGCAGCGGCTCACGCATGTAATCCCAGCACTTCAGGAGACCGAGGTGGGTGGATCACAAGGTCAGGAGAACAAGACCAACCTGGCTAATACGGTGAAACCCCGTCTCTACTAAAAATACAAAAAATTAGCCAGGTGTGGTGGCATGTACCTGTAATCCCAGCTACTCGGGAAGCTGAGGCAGGAGAATCACTTGAACCTGGGAGGCGGAGGTTGCAGTGAGCCCAGATCGTGCCACTGCACTCCAGCCTGTGCAACAGAGTGAGACTCCGCCTCAAAAAAGAAAAAAAAAAAAAGGCATTTTCATGGGCATCATCCAAGCTCGGAAGACTTGGGAGGCAATCTGCCTTTTACCTCACTTCTTGGATGATTCTTGTGTACATCAAAATTTGAAAACCACTGTTGTAAGAGTGATGGTTTAAAAAAATATAGGGGGCCGGGCGCGGTGGCTCAAGCCTGTAATCCCAGCACTTTGGGAGGCCGAGGCGGGTGGATCATGAGGTCAAGAGATCGAGACCATCCTGGTCAACATGGTGAAACCCCATCTCTACTAAAAATACAAAAAATTAGCTGGGCATGGTGGCACGTGCCTGTAATCCCAGCTACTCAGGAGGCTGGGGCAGGAAAATTGCCTGAACCCAGGAGGTGGAGGTTGCGGTGAGCCGAGATCGCGCCATTGCACTCCAGCCTGGGTAACGAGAGCAAAACTCCGTCTCAAAAATAAATAAATAAATAAATAAATAAATAAATATAGGGTAGGCTGGGCACTGTGGCTCACTCCTGTAATCCCAGCACTTTCAGAGGCTGAGCCAAGTGGATCACCTGAGGTTGGGAGTTCAAGACCAGCCTGGCCAACATGATAAAACCCTGTCTCTACTAAAAAAAGTAGTTATGAATGGTAGTGGGTGCCTGTACTCCCAGCTACTTCAGAGGCTGAGACAGAAGAATCACTTGAACCCAGGAGGCGGAGGTTGCAGTGAGCCGAGGTTGCTCCATTGCACTCCAGCCTGGGCAACAAGAGCAAAACTCTGTCTCAAAAAAAAAAGAAATGTATATATATATATACATATATATATCTGTATGTATGTACATACATGGTAGCAATTTGTTACATGGAAAATAATTTGTACTTCAATGGGAAACTATGAGTTGTCTATAGCAGGGGTACCCAACCCCTGGGTCTCGGACTGGTACCAGACCAATCTGTGGCCTGCTAGGAACCAGGCCACACAGCAGGAGGTGAGCAGCAGGCAGGCAAGCATTACTGCAGGAGCTCTGCCTTCTGTCAGATCAGCAGTGGCATGAGATTCTCATAGGAGCAGGACACCTACTGTGAACTGTGTAAACAAGGGATGTAGGTTGCATGCTCCTTATGAGGATCTAACTAATGCCTGATGATCTGAGGGGGAACAGCTTCATCCTGAAGCCATCCTCCCTCTACACCCTCCACGTCCATGGAAACATTGTCTTCCATGAAACCGGTCCCTGGTGCCAAAGAGGTTGGGGACCACTGGTCTACAGCTCTCCCTGCTGCCTTATCAGTCTATGGGAGATATTTTATAATTCTGTAAATTATAGGTAACTGAGAGACAAGGCTCAGCTGATTTCCCTTTTCTGTTCCCCTTGTGGAAAAACCTATTTTGCCTCCATTTGCACATTTCAATATTCCTGATCTATACAGATGTCTGTTTTGGGGTTCTCTTTTGAGCCCATTATAATATCTGCCTAGTTCCCTCTTTTTGTTTGTTTTGTTTTTTGGAGACAGGGTCTCACTCTGTCACCCAGGCTGGAGTTCAGTGGTGCAGTCACAGCTCACTGCAGCCTTGACCTCCCCAAGCTCAGGTGATCCTCCCACCTCAGCCCCCTGAGTAGTTGGGACCACAAACATGTGCCACCACACCCATCTAAGTTTTGTATATGGTTTTTGGTAGAGATAGGGTTTCACCATGTTGCCTAGGCTGGTCTTGAACTCCTGGGCTCAAGTGATCCTCCCAGCCTCAGCCTCCCAAAGTGCCGGGATTACAGGCGTGAGCCACTGCGCCTGGCAGTTCCATCGTTAAATAAAATCTTTATCATGCATTTATTTTTATATCTGTATGAGAGGCATGGCTTTACCTTTTTTTTTTTTTTTTAATTATCTTTTGACAGTTTTCTTCAAATAAATAAGAGGTCACCCTGAAGTTGTCCAGCAGTGGAAATGACTGCCCTGTGAAGTTGTGAACTTCCCATTACTGGAAGCCCAAAAAAGAAAACTATATTTTGGTGCTTTAGGAAAAAAATCACATGCCAGAATTATGACCACTCATCAACTTCCCACGTTATCAGGAAATCTGAGCTTTAGGACAGACAGTAGACTAAACAGTGGCTGCCAATGCTGGCTGCACGTTAGAGTCATCTAATGCTGGGCTCTACTTCCAGAAATGCTGATTTATTCGGTCTTGGGTGGGTCATGGGCATAGGGCCATGCTGAGTCATACTGGAGCCCGAGGCAAAGGAAAAAATCAGTAATCTGGTCCTGTTTTCATTAAAAATTTTGGTATTTTATTCACAACAAATTTTTTGCAGTAATTTTCATTGTCAAAATATTGCACTAAAATATTACTTATTTTTTATTAATGAGGGTTGTGTGTGTCTCTGTGTTTTCTTAAATTTTGTGCTCAGGCAGAGTGCCTCACTTGCTTTACCCTAATTGCAGCCCTGCATGGGCATCTGCATTCTTTTTTTTTTTTTTTTTTGACTGAGTCTCCTCTGTTGCCCAGGCTGGAGTGCAGTGGTGTGATCTCAGCTCATTGCAACTCTGCCTCCTGGGTTCAAGCAATTCTCCTGTCTCAGCTTCCCGGGTAGCTGGGACTACAGGTGTCCGCCACCATGCCTGGCTAATTTCTGTATTTTTAGTAGAGACAGGGTTTCACTATATTGGTCAGGCTGGTCTCGAACTCCTGACCTCAGATGATCCACCCACCTTGGCCTCCCAAAGTGCTGGCATTACATAGATTATGTAGGTGTAAGCCACCCTACCCGGCTGGCATCTGCATTCGTTAAAGCTCCTCACTGAGGTCAGTCTCATGGGCAGCCAGAGTTGAAAACCACTGCCTAGTACATCTCTTGCATCCCTTACTATGCTGTCCAATATGGTAGCCAATAGTCACATAGGGCAACTGAGAACTTGAAATGCTAGTAGTATGATAAATTGAGACATGTCATAGCTTTCAAAGACAGTACAAAAAAAAGTAGGAATATCTCAATAATTTTCATACTGATTACATGTTGAAATGATAATATTTTTGAATATACTGGATTAAATAAAATATATTTTAAAAATTAATCTTATCTATTTCTTTTACTTTTAAAAAATACTGCCCCAAGAAAATTTTGAATGATCTCTGTGGCTTACATTAGTGGTTTTCATTGTATTTCTATTGGACAGTGCTATTCCAGGGACCTATTGTTAACACAAATATAACAAGTCCTTTCCAATAAGTGGTTCCCATTTTATAATTTTATATCCCCAATAAAAAATAGTTTCATATTGGCTGGGCACAGTGGTTCACGCCTGTAATCCCAGCTACTTGGGAGACCGAGGCAGGAGATCGCTTGAACCCAGGAGACAGAGGTTGCAATGAGCCGAGATCACGCCACTGCGTTCCAGCCTGGGTGGCAGAGCGAGACTCCATCTCAAAAAAGAAAAAAAAAGTTCCATATTGAGAAGGAGCATCAGCAATGATCTGGCATCAAATCCCTATCTGCAGACCAAATTCACAGAGGTTTCATTTCCAAGAATGTGTGGGATATTTACTGGATTTTTTCCTGCTGGGAGTAGAATGTTTTGTGGTGGGGACTTTTCTTTCAATACTTTAAAATTATGATCCCACTGTCTTCTAGCTTTCATGGATTATGTTGAAAAGTGGCCGGATGAGGTGGCTGACACCTGTAATCCCAGCACTTTGGGAGGCTGAGGCGGGCGGATCATGAGGTCAGGAGTTTGGGACCAGCCCGGCCAACATAGTGAAACCCTGTCTCTACTAAAAATACAAAATATTAGCCGGGCATGGTGGCATGCACCTGTAGTTCCAGCTACTCGGGTGGCTGAGGCAGGAGAATTGCTTGAACCCAGGAGGAGGTTGCAGTGAGCTGAGATCATGCCATTGCATTCCAGCTTGGCGACAGAGAGAGACTCCGTCTCAAAAACATAAATAAATAAATAAATAATAAATTTGTTTCTCTTTAATTTTCAGTAGTATAATCATGATGTTCCCAGGTATGATCTTTCTTTTATTCATCTGGCCTGAGGTTTTTAGTGCTTTTTGAATGAGGTTGGATATGTGCTTTGAGGTCTTTGGTTGTAGGAAATTCCCAGCCAGTATTTATTTAAAATCACTCCTTCTTCTCCTTATGGGACATTAATTGCAGGAAAGTTAGATTGTTTCCTCCATGTTGCATATATCTCTTAAGTCTTTTTTTACATTTTTATCATTTTCTCCCTCTGTATGTAAGTCGGAATTTTTTCTACTGGCTTGTTTTCTAGTTCACTAGTCATTTGTTCTGATAACCTACTAAATTAACATATTAAACTATTAATTTTGTCACACTAATTTTTGGTTCCAGAATTTCCATTTGGGTTAAAAATCTGATTCTATATCTTTGGAGACACAAACATATTATGTTTTCTTGAACATATTAGTCCTAGCTATTTTAAAGTCCCTGTCTCATAATTCCAATATATGAATCACCTGTGG